GGGACTAAATTTTTCCTTTTACATATGTGTTTTTAAATCTGGTTATTATAATATATTATAGTAAAAAGATCTTTCTAGTGTGCCTCCTTTTTTCATTCTTGTGTTTGTGATATAGTGAGGATGTACAATTTTATTTCTCCATCTTTGAGTCTTTGACTTGGCCGTGGGGAATTTGTTTTTGTTTCCATACTGTGATTGTTTCCGTATTGTTTATCATTAGCAATTGCATTCTTAATGGCCTTTGCGACTAAATTTTATGTGTCCTTCGTTTCGGAAAAAAATACTTTCCAATTTGAATTCATGACATTTAAAGGGAAAAGTTTTCAACTTTGTGAGAGAATTCATGCAAAATTGTAAGTTTGAATGATTCTTCCACACACTGCCAATAAGAAGAAATCTAATTACTTCTTGGAGTGGCTCAATTATTTGTCCATGCTTTTATTATGATCACAAATCTTTGTGGCCTTTGGGGCCATGTTTTGATTCTGCCTCCAATGAGCTATTTTATAAATTTTTTGTTGGACATCAAAATAGGTAAATTTAATTGGAAATAAATTTTTGATTTCCAAATGCCTGACCAAATTTAAATGTAATTTTATTGGAAAACAAATTACTACCTAAATATTAGCAGTATTTTCTATTCTTTTTTAATTTTTTTTTATTTTTTAGAGACAATATCTAGCTGTCACCCAGGCTGGAGTACAATGTTGTCATCGTAGCTCACTGCAATCTCCATCTCCTGGCCTCAAGCGATCCTCCTGCCTCAGCCTCCCAAAGTGCTGGGAATACAGGCTTGAGCCACCATGCATAGTCAAATATTTTCTATTCTCGCTAAAATCACGGTGGAAAGTGGGTTTGAAATGTAATTCATTTGTTACTCAAGCCAGTTATTGTTCATGTTTTTATAAATGAGAGTCCTAAGTTATCAAGAGATAATAATCAAGATTTTTTCCGTAGTAATAAGATTACCTCAGAGGAGACACTTCACTCAATGGGTGGACCAAGTCAATGATATTACTGTTTATTAATAGTCACAATATCCCTCCAAAGGAAGATGTATCCTTCTGGGTAAAACCATGCTCCCCTCATCCTTCTCCCACCCGTATGTTTTCTCTTTAACACACAATGGCCAGAGACTTTTGTCACAATTTTTCTTTTGAGTTACTCCTTTTGTTTTGAAATATGTTCAAATTTACATAGAAGTTGGAAGTCCTTTCACCCAGAGACTCCATTACATATTTTCTTAACTGCTCCATTAACAAGAACCTGATCCTGGATCATGCTTTGGTATTTAGTTGTGCTATTTAAGTCTCTGTTAAACCAGAATAAGACTTTCCTTGACCTTCATGACCTTGACACTTTTGAAAAATACAGGACTGTGATTTTGTAGAGCAGTCTTGCATTTGGGTTTGTTTCATATTTCTTTGTGATTGGATTCAGGCTTTGCATTTGTGGCTGCAAGATCGTGGCAGTCACGCTGTGTTCTTACCGCATCCCATCAGGTGACTTGTGACATCAATTTGTCATGTCACTGGTGATGTTAACTTTGATTACTTGAATAAGATGGTATTTGCTGGGTCTCTTTAATATAGAGTTACTATTTTCCTCTTTACAATTAGTAATTAGTTTGGTGGAAGAGACTTTGAACCTATGTAAATATCCTATATTTCATCGAAATTTCATCCACTAATTTTATCATCTGTTTTTGTTTCCTACCTGAATTAATTATTTTTTAAATGATTGCCAAATGGTGATTTCTAATTCTGCCATTCCTTCTACATTTATAAGTTGGTTTTCTACTGTAAGGAAAGGCTTTCCCTTCTATCTATGTATTCACTCATTTATTCAAATCACTGTGGGTTTTATTCAGTGAGATATAATGTACCACTACTTGTGTGATGATCAAATGGTCTCAGTTTGAGCTACAGAAAGTCCCATCAAGCTGGTTTCTGAAACACTCCCATATCGTTCTTTGAACACATCTTTACTTTCTGATATAACAGGATGTTCCAGATTCGTCTTATATTTTATGCCCCAGCCTAGATTCAGCCATTTCTTTGAGGAGCTCTGGGTCCTGGCATTTAGAAGTCAAGATCGGGACACTTGGTGTGCTCCAGGCTACTGGGGGTTGATACCTCCAGGGCCTCTTGGGAGACAGAGCCAGGAAATATATCTAGTATATACATACATGTATATTTAAAAATATGCACACACACTTTCACTTCTATATTCACTACCGTATTACCTACCTATTTATCTATCTATGTAGCTATCTGTTTATTGAAAATCATGAATTCACACTGATATATTCAATTACAGTCAAACACTATAGGACTCATTCTAGCTTCGTCCTTTTGAAACTTGTAACTCCATTTTTTTAGTGGTGAGACACATGACTCCAATTAGCCTTAATACATTTATTTGTTTGATCATTCCACCTGTAGGTAGCAGCCTCCTGTTTCTTCTCTTGGCCACATACTTCATACAGGCCCCTAGGATATATTCTTACTGCTGTATCTGCTAAACCACTGGACTTTAGTATAAAGACTTTTGCCATGTTTGTTAGTTCATTTTATTTCTTGATGTCTGTCTGTCTCTCTCACTCTCTACACACACACGCACACACACACATCACACTGGCAATTTAATGGGCAGAGGGGCACTGACTGTTTTACCCCATGGGTGAGACATAACCATAAATTGATCTGATACAAATTAAATAGACTGTATCTTCAATTAGTGAAAAAGTTAAAGACTGTAGTTATAGAAATGACTATTCTTCATTGTTTTCAGGATGTAATTCTTCTTCAAATAATGGCAATATTTAAATATAAGTTAATTCTTCCTTCTTAAGAATCAGCTACCTGCAATGCATTTTTTAACACCCAAAATTCAGTAATGGGTTTGCAACTTTTGAAAAAATATATTTAAGGCTACTGGTTTTTCACAAAGGCAATTTCTTTTTCTTTTTTCATAAAAATATCTGAAAGCACAAGAGATTCACAGGATGTGAGGAAGAGAAAACTCATAACAACAAATAATACAAAGGTTTGCAAGGTGTTTGCATAAGGCAGATGATATTATGCAAATGCCTAAGCCAAACCTTTACATTAACAGAGAACACTGTCTATATATTTGCTGAAAAATGTATTAAAATGAACAGAGTTTCTAGACAACACATGGAATTGCCATATTGTTGTCAAAACCTGAGGTACGGCTCTGCAAGGAGTTTGCTCACGGGCTATGACTTTACTATTTCTTTGTGATTAGTTGTTCTGTGGCTACGTTGCTTTATTCTGTGAGCCAATATTTACATTTACAATACAGACCACGATGTGAAGGATGTTTCTCATTAGTGAAGCATCTATGTTGGTCCTTCATTGCTCTGTAGCTTGTATCATGATTATGAGAAAGGTTAAGCTCCGATGCTGATAATTCCCACCATGTTTATGAGCACTTCTTTTGCATTTACTTCTCAAGATTCTTTATGAAATTGATGGCCCGAGAGAGAGGGGCATGTTAAAGACTGTTAGGAGCACAACTGACGTGAGAAGCGTGATCGATGGCTGGGTCCTTAGAATCTTCTCTTTTGTACCAATTAGGCTCCAGACTCTGCTCTTAGTCTCAGCATTGGCATTTACCTTTCCGACATACTGCATTTAGGTTATGAAAATTCTATACCTAAGGGTTCAGCTCGTTAATTCAACGAGTGTAATGGATCTTTGGCATGTTTGGATTGAACTTTTGGACAAAGAGCAAGTGCCCTCAAGTATATTTTGCTTTGGAACAAATTTGAGTCCCTTAGGCTGTGTGGTTTGTGCGCAGAGGTTGGCACTTACTAGTGACTCGGCTTAGTGGACTCTGAATGAAGCCTGCCCCCAGCAAAGCCACATCCTTCCCTTCTGGTAATTACAGTAACAGGTACATGGAAAAGTACATACTTAGCTGTATTCTCAAATGTCACGATTCACAAAGCTTTTCCATCATACAACTTGTTAAGGTCAAGGATCCAACACTATAATTCTTTTTCTAATTCCAACAGTATTTTTGAAATGCTTATAGGTCCATTGGAATTGTTGATAAATTGTGATGATGCCTTCTACTTAGTGGTCAAGCATTTTTTTTTCCTTCCCTTCCTTCCCTCCTTCCTCCCTCCCTCTCTTCTTTCCCTCCCCCCTTTCTTCCTTCCCTCCCTCCTTCCTTTCTTTCCATCCTTTGCTTAATAAGGTTCTTGATCTCTGTGGTTTTATATTCCATAGAATCTTTTATCATCAATCCCCTGTTTCATTTATTCAAAACAATATTTTCTTTTGCTGTAATCGATCTTCAGCGCATATATTTCAGTTTTGAAAAATCATGTATGTTCTTCTATGTTGGTTCAGTGCTTTCATCTCTGTTCTTGTCTGGTGCTCACCTTGGCTTCTATTTTTATGGCCATATTCAATTGCAGCACTAGTTGGCTGGGATGTAATAGTATAACAAGAGTCAGAAAGAACCGAGCTGAAAAGCAGTGCTGGAAATCACTAACTGTGTCTGTGTGTACTTACAACAGGGGGAAAGATTACTACCTATTTCGCTGGTTTATTGTATAATATATATTGAAAGAAATAATATATTACAGTGCTCATCCCAAACCAAACATACAATAAAAAAAAATGGATAAATGTTAGAAAATAATCTCTACAAGGGCTGAAGGGCCGGGATATTTGACACTGGTGTTCACAAGCACCTAATACAGTGCCTGGCACACAGTAAGCACAGAATAAACACATATTGGTGGTTATTGTTCTTACGCTGCTATAACCCTCCCCTTGATGCTTTGAAAGTGAAAGAGAAATGACATGTTTATAAAGCACATAATAAAGGGTCTGGCGTAATGTATTTGATTTAGCTAGAAATATATTTGTACAGGCTTATCATCAGGCAAATGATTGGTTTAGTACAGCACTCTTGAGAAAACATCTTCAGAAAGACTAAAGGTTTTTTCTTCCCTTTCCCAGGCATCCTGTTTTCCCTGGTGGTGATGCTGTATGTCATCTGGGTCCAGGCAGTGGCTGACATGGAAAGCTACAGAAACATGAAAATGAAAGACTGCTTGGATTTCACCCCTTCTGTTCTGTATGGCTGGTCATTTTTTCTGGCCCCAGCTGGGATATTTTTTTCTTTGCTGGCTGGATTACTATTTCTAGTTGTTGGACGGCATATTCAGATACATCACTAAATCAATTGTTGCCATAAGTATTTTCTTGAGAGATTTTTAAACAGAGCATACTTTTTTCTCCATTTTATCTCAGTGATCCCAGCATAGAATTAATTGATATAACTTTGTAGTCGCTATTTGATTGAACCATTTCACTTGTGATTTCCTCTTATAGGAAGGTCCTAGAATCTCTCCAGATACCAGCATGTCTTCACCTTGTCTAAATGCTGTCAAGGACCTAGTTCTTTAGGCACATGTGTCTCCCTTTCTTGGAACATGTTAGTGTTCATGCAGGTTGCAAAGGCCTGATAATAGCATAACACCATCACATGGGGCAAATCTAGGTTTCATGTAACACCTCCTTCTTAGTGTTCATGTCTGCTAACTAAAAAAAAAATCTTTGGAGAATAATTAAGAATGGAAAACAAATGTTGTCAGAGGATTTATTTCATTTTTTCTTCACACACAGACATATCCATATATGCATTCACTAGATCCTGTGAGCAAATGATTCATTTAAAAATAGACAGCAGTTGTTCTTGTTAGCGGGAGCCGTGTAGTCACCAGTTAAAATGGACCACAACAAACAAAACTAAGATCATGTGCTCGCTCTGCTTTCTTTCAAACAGTGGTTTGGTTACCTAATGTTATTCACTTAGTTGTGCATGCTTGCATAAACCTTAAACTATATTTAAAAGTAGCAAATCTGCAAGCCAAATTATGCATAAAGCAGATTGAATTTTTATGAACTTACAAGTGAGTTAATTGTATAATGTATAATTGTATAATTGTATAAAGTAATATGGTTTAAAATATGTAAAATCCAAGCACCTTCGCTTAGTACATAATTCTATTTGATATTCTAAAATTCCCATTAAAAACTATATTGATAACATGTTCAGCATGTTAAAATGTATTGATGAAACATGCTTTTAATAGTCTTTAGCTATAAACTTTCAAAGTACTTCAATCTGAGGATTATAATAGCCTCACTTTATTAAATGCCATGAAATATTAACTTTGCCCAAGATTTTATGGGTTTCAATTCTTCTGATCATTTGATTCCCTTAACTATTGTCCCTCAATTTCTTCATCTTTACAATAGGTATATTAACATTTACAGATCTGCTATTTCCTTTAACTTCCTGGAAGAAAAGTTTTTCTGGGGAAAAATAATTCTTTATTATTCACTAGCATAGACATTTTGCATACCAAAGATGTTCATTTGGCGTGAATGTTGATTGAAATCAAATCCATCTGAGAGGCCTAGGTTGTATTTGTATTCTGGAAGCCTCCATCATGGAGAGTTTGGGGTTAGTGAGGGAAGAGAGAAATGGCATGGCATGGCAGCTTGGCTGGAGGCACAGTCTTTCTGCAGCTGTTGTGAGGCATGAGTCACAGGACTCACAGGCAAAGGAGTCATACCTAGAACACGCTCTGGGGTAGACGAACTCCTGCTCTCCGTCCTGCTCTTCCCGTGACGACGGAGAGATTGCCCCAGTCCTCTCTGCACATCTTCACTTTTCCATTAAGCCTCGTTTCAATGGGAGGGAGCTTTAGAGGAGTAGCAAAAGTCTGCGGTACCTACAGAATCACAAGGGCATTTTAGTGACAGGACTTGCCTGTATTCATAATAATAATAAAAATCTCCAGGGGTTTAACCGGTTTCTCAAGTCATTTCAACGGTATCATAAACGTTTTTGTGATACTTCTCCCTTTGTCTTTTTCTGTTTCATTTTTATATTGCTTCATTTATTTTTTTTTCACTTTTGGCTTGATTATTAGAAAAATAATTATGAGTTCTGTTATGCATATTGACTGTGATATTAACTTATGGCATGCCATTAAGTTTTCCAGATGATGCTGGATGTATTTGATTAGTTCATGTCATCTGTAAATACAATTCTTTTTTGTAGAACTTTGGAATGGAGCCTTTTCTGGTGTACTGTATGCCATTTAAATTTCACATACAAGCTGCCTTCACTAAAGGTTTGAATATTTATAAATTTCAGATGGTTACTCTCATTTTCTAATACACTTATGCAGCTACCATGTATTTATCATATGACAATTGGCTGAATAGCTGATGTGTGTGACACTTTTACACAGATCTACATTTTGGAAATATTTTATAGTTGCAATTCATCAATCACATTAATTATTTCTTGAACAATTTACCAGCAATCCTCAGAAGGAATGAAGGTGAGTTGTGTTTGCTATGTTAATGAGTAAAATATTCTTAAAAATAGCAGAGATATGCAGTGTGTTATTGTAACAGCCTTCTATCTGATTTGGTATACTATGTTGCTAAATGTCTATGATATGTTTATTTCTTTATTGGGTGTATTGACGAATTTTCAGAAGCATTCAAACAGTGTTAAAATCTTTTTTTAAAGTGTTGATTTTACACCATAAGGTTTTAATTTAACAAATAAGATATCTTTTCAGTGACACTTCTTGAAAGATTGAATAAAGAGGGCAGTGAGTTGTGCCCTTGGATTCTGATGAAAGCTGTGATCTCTCCACATTGTGTTTGTTCAATTGGTTCAGTTCACTCAGGCGGCCGATAGCACATACATTGAAACTGGCTGGGAAAACTATACTGGGCTTAAGGATAGTGTCCAACTTGGGGGTTGATGGTAGGGCTTTCCAAAAAAATACTGTCGAGTGTGCACTTAGTGGTCATTTGGTCATTTTTATTACTAATCTATTAAATATATTTATTAAATTCAGTTACTAAATCCACTTACAAAAACATGGTGTTGGAGGTATCAGTATTTGGAAATTATCCATTTATCTAGCTATCATCTATCTATGTGTCTATCATCAACATACATGGGTACACGTCTGTGTATATGTTTATATATGTGAGCATGTATGTGTATTGTAAGTTTGGGTAGAACGAGATAAACTGAATGGTATAAACCAATATATTTGAGCTGAGCAAATTTTTAAAAATAATTTTCTCTTGGGGGACAGAATTATATTGTGGTTGTGTTTCCCTGGTGCTACTTTAATTATTTTACTCACCTGATGATGGGTTTATTCAGTTAAACACATACTTTGATTTATATTTTCATGAAAGTAACTACATCGGACTTAGAAAGAGACTTAGAATGTCCGAGGGGTCAGGCAAACATGGGATCCTAGCAAAGCTAGCTGGACACCAATCTGCAGGTGGGTAGAATTGTGGGAAAGACTCACAGTACTGGGGTTACATGGAAAAAAATATTAACAGGAAAAATCGAAACCAGATTTTGTTTTTGTGGGACTTCACCGGGAGTGAGGGCTCTTAAAAAAGAGATGAAATAGAAAACTAAATTTTTACTGATTGTCTGAAGGAGTTAAATATATGGAGACATTTCCTCAGTGATGATCAGGTGGAGGTGGAGAACTTCCAACAAGAATTTAGGGTGACCGTACCTTAGTTAGATATTTTATCAACGAAGTGGTGAAGGGAAAA